GGATTAATGGCAATGTGCCTTTTACTGTAATAAAATTAAAAATATATACATTTACCATAGTTTTTGATCTGTGAGAGTATGATGTATATATAGATGCCAAGTTCTTAATGACCATAAATATTTGGATTTTACTACTTTCCCTTCTGTCTTCCTATTTTCTTAACCATTATGGATGGCTGGAGAGCTTAATTACTGATCTGCCTGAATGACCTCTGCCTGACCTCAAAACCTGCAAGGATACCCTTTACATTTACCAGACTGCCTCTTTTTAAAACATTTGTTGTCTTAAATGTTTCCTAATAGTACATGTTATGTAGACTCTTTCTTACATGAGAGTTTTGTTGGTAAGAATTTCCACTGTTTGGATTTCAATCCCACACTGAGAGACAAAGAAGGACACTACATCTTTGTAAAGGGAATAATCCAAGAGGAACAGATGACAATCATAAAAATGCACCAAACACTAGTGCACCCAACTATATGAAACAAATACTAACTGACATGAAAAATCATATAAGCACTAATACAGTAGTAGTGTAGGACCTCAATACCCCATTGTCACAGATAGATAGGTCAACTAGACAAAAAACAAGCAACGAAATACTACAACTCAATCAAACTCTTGAACAGATGAACTTAACAGATGTTTACAGAGTGATCCACCCCACAAAATCAGAATACACATTCTTTTCAGCGGCACATGGGTCATTCTCCAAAATAGATCACATACTTGCTCATAGAACATATTTAGGTAAGGGCAAAGGAATTGAAGTTATCCCCTGTATATTATCAGATCATAGTGCAATGAAATTGGAGCTCAATAGCAAAAGAAACCAGAAAAAGTTCATAAACACATGGAAATGGAACAACACACTTCTGAATAACCAGTGGGTCACAGAGGAAATTAAAGAAGAAATCAGTACCTGCAATTAAATGACAAAGACAGTACAACATATCGGAATCTATAGGACACAATGAAAGCAGTCTTACGAGGGAAATTCATAGCAGTGAATACTCATATTAGGAAAACAGCGAGCCCAATTAAACAACCTGATGCTGAACCTCAAGCTTCTAGAAAAAGAAGAGCACAACAAACCCAAAGCTCATAGAGAGGTGGAAATTATAAAGATTAGGGCAGAAATCGATGCAATGGAGACTAAGAGAATGATACAAAAAATCAATGAGGCCAAGAGTTGGTTCTTTGAAAGAATAAACAAAATTGACAAAACCTTAAAAAGAGGAAAGAAAAGGCCCAAATCCATGCAATTAGGAATGAAAAGGGTGAAATTACAGCGGACCCAGCAGAAATCCAGAGAATCATCAATACCTACTTCTAGAACATATATGCCAATAAGATGGAAAACACAGAAGAAATGGATAGATTCCTAGACATGTATGAATAACCAAAGTTGAATGAAGAAGACCTAAAAATTCTAAATAACCCAATATCAACCAATGAAATTGAAAATGTAATTAAAAACTTAGCAACTAAGAAAAGCCCAGGTCCTTATGGCTTCACTGCTTAATTCTACAAGACATTTAGAGAGGAACTATTGCCACTACTGTTTAAACTCTTCAGGGAAATTGAAAGGGAAGCAATACTCCTGAATTCATTCCTGGAAGCAACCATCACCTTGATCCTTAAAGCAGAGAAGGACCCAACCAAAAAGAGAACTATAGGGCAATCTCCCTAATGAACAGAAATGCAAAAATCCTTACTAGATACTGGCAAATAGAGTGCAGAAGATAATCAAGAAGATCATACACCCTGACCAAGTGGAATTCATCCTAGGGATGCCAGGATGGTTCAACATATGCAAATCAGTCAATGTAATGCACTATATCAATAGAGCCAAGGACAAAAACCATATGATCATCTCAATAGCTGCAGAAAAAACATTTGACAAAATCCAACGTGCATTTATGATAAAAACCCTACAAAAATTGGAATAGGAAGTCTCTTACCTCAATCTGATAAAAGCCATCTATGAAAAAAACAACAGTCAGTAACATGCTAAGTGGTCAAAAACAAATCCTTCACACTAAAATCAGGAACAAGACAAGGATGTCCACTATCACCACTCCTGTTCAATATAGTTTTGGAAACATTAG